GTTCTCGTGTGCGCTATGATGCAGTTTACTACTTGGCATCTGAAAATACATTTCCTGAAACGGATTTTGAATCTGAAAAGAAGCTTCACTGAGTGAGCAGTAGTGTTAAGAGCAGCAGACAGTTTAAGTTTCACTTTCACTTTGCTCTGTTACTGCCAAGAGCCTGCAGGAGTCATGGGCAGGGTGTGGGGGGAGGTGTGCTCCGTGATGAGGAAGTTCGGCTTAAAGACACATCCCAGGGGCGTTTCTGGTCCCAAAAGGCGTTCTTGGTCCCACCTGTCGTTTTGCTCCTCAGCATGGCTTCCTAAAAACGCTGCAGGATTTCTCAAACATGCATGAATGAGTCAAAGCAAGGCTTTGGGCAAGTTTTTTTATAAGAGTATAACATTATAACATGATATAAAACTCAAAAAAGTTGATTTTACATGATATTGCCCCTTTAAGGAAATTGGTGATCCCTGACATTTTTGATATTTTGTAAAAAAAACAAACAAACAACAACAGTAATTTCTCACCAGACTTGGATTCCTTGAAGACAGAGACAACGTGTCGCAGGAAGTTGGAAAGCTGCTCCGTGCTTTTAGAGTTGGGGTTCTTCGGCGTGATGTCTTCATGAGCCCACAGGGGCCCGAAAGCTCTGAGCAAGAACAACACAGTACTCCAGGCACTGTATACCCACCACCAGTAGCACCACACACAGGTTACACAAGCACTGAAGGGGCGTACACACACACACACAACTTCCTCATCGCTCATAACGTATCGCTGGTGTTACCTGGTGGACAGGAACTCGATGAGTTTGTTTGTCTTTTCGTCGGTCTCGTTGGACGTGTCCTCGAGATCCTCCAGGTCATCGGGCGTCACGAGGGGCAAATTCCCAACACTGCCTGCAGTGCTGCCGCCACCGAGACTAGCAGAGGACGAGTTGGAGGTGGAGCTGAGTCCTGAGTCCACCACAGGAGACGCCTGCCACTCCCGCAGAAAGTCAGGTGCTTCTAAAAGAAATAAAGATCACAGAGTTCCAATTTTTATTAAAATACAAAACATCATGTTCTTCATCTTTTATGTTTATCATATAAGGGCTTTAAATAACAGTAAATGTAACAGCAGAATAAATAAATAACGCTGAGTATTTGCTCCTTACGTGACTGCTGGTACTCTGTGTGGTAGTTGGACTTAATGGTGAGGGTTTTATTATCCTTGATCTCCCTCGTCAGCATTAAAACAGAAGCTATTACCTGAAAGCGCAAAAAGGATGGTCTTCAGAGCCAAATGYAGCAGTACTCATGTTACTGAGCGAGTAAAACATGTTTACTGCAGTGTTAGGCTAAACTGTCTTATTAAAACAAAAATAAATGTGACCCACCACATCGAGACGAGGATTAAGTCTAAAAGTGGGATATGGAGAAATAGGCAAACATAATGATTTGATTAAAACACTTACAAAAACTGAATTTCTTCAAAATCTAACAAATAAATGCCTCATCATTATTTCATTGGCAACACTTTCTTTTACGGTACCCTTATTACCACGTAATTACAAGGTAATTAAAAATGTAATAAATGTAATTACTACTTTATTACNATTAAAACAAAAATAAATGTGACCCACCACATCGAGACGAGGATTAAGTCTAAAAGTGGGATATGGAGAAATAGGCAAACATAATGATTTGATTAGCAAATGTCTCCATTTGATGAGTGAACCACATGCATTTTACAAATAAGACAGTATTATTTCATTGGTAACACTTTCTTTTACGGTACCCTTATTACCACGTAATTACAAGGTAATTAAAAATGTAATAAATGTAATTACTACTTTATTACCATGCAATTACAAGGTAATTAAAAATGTAATTACAAGGTAATTAAAAATGTAATTACTACTTTATTACTATGTAATTACAAGGTAATTAAAAATGTTATTAAAATTGTAATTATTACTTTATTACCATGTAATTACATGGTAATTACGGTACAAAATAAAAAACTACTGTTAGTAAAACTACCTTTATTGGGTAACTACAATCAAATTACTATTCAATAGTAACTCAACACTATATTTATAACCAAAAGAATGCAGCTAAATTTTGTGGTTAGTGGTTAAATGCAATAAAATTTAACTTTAAAACTGTCCAAATTACCTACTTATTTAGGTGTTACATGGTGAATTATAATTCATTACCAGGTAAGTGCTACATTACTGCAGACAATTAATTACATAGTAAAACTGTACCATAATTACCACGTAATTACATGGTAATAAGGTAGTAATTGCATTTAATTACATGTTTTATTACCTTGTAATTACATGGTAATACGGGTACCGTAAAAAAGGCGTTACCATTTCATTTAAATGAACTGTGTGAAATATAATCATAAAATTTTTTTGAAGCACTTTATTTGAGCAGTAGTAACAAAAAACTTGATTTTGAGGAAAAATCCCTCTTAATTGTGAAATTTTCCTTGTGAGCTAGCAATGTTTTTGTTTCTTTCCAACTGGGAAATGTCAATATTTAAATACTAATTGAGATTTCCTCTTCATGATGAAATTAAATATTCCTCATTAAAATTACATAAAGTTAGGATTCAGACCAAATATTAATGTATTATCGTAACCAACAAGACAAATTAAGTCATATCTCTGGTTCTGTTTATGATATCAGAATGATCCAGGTATCAAAATGTAGCTTTTAAAGCAGGAATCTGAAAATGTGATTAGGTCATTTTGACCAAATTTGACTTAATCCTCATTTCGATATGATGGGTCACAAATGTCCTTCTCTGACCTGGAAGTTGTTGTTGCAGGAGAGAGCGATAAGGAGGTGGAGCAGGAGACGTTTGCTGTGTTCATAAACCTCTGGTCTGTAGTGGTCCAGACCTGGAAATATAAAAACAATATATATCAATATTAAGCACAAAAAGGAAGGAAATTAGTGTTTGGTTGATTTTTTTTTTTTTGGTAACAACGCTTCTGGGCAATAAATCTTTTAGCAAGCTCTTGACTGGCAGCACCTGGAGGTACCAGGAGCTCAAAACAAGCATCAATAAAACAACAAAATAAGCTGTTTGACAGAGTTTTAGCAAATTTTTCATGTCCCTCATACTCAGCTCTACTGCTCATCCCACAAATGCATGTTCCTAACAAATGTGGCACCATTTAAAAAGGAAAATTAACAGGCTTTCCAACATTATAAGATTTTTTGCCCAGAAGCATAGTTACAACAAAGAAATAACCTACCAAACACACATTTCCTTACTTTCTGTGCTAAGTTTAGTTAGTTTAGCCAAATTATGTTTTAGTTTAAAAACAGTTTATTCTACAAAGTGAAACTGTTTATATTCTGATGTGACGAGTCAAAATCAGATTTTCGACTCACTTGTGTTTCAAATCCTCCTTGAGCAGCTACACAATCAAGTTCACACAGCTAACAATCCAGCAAGTCTATTATTTACGTTCTCCTACACCTTTTTGTTCTTTTCTGTTGTCAGAATGGCTCAGGGCTGCGCACTTACCCAAGAAGAGGGCGTGTAGCAGCAGAGGCAGGTGCAGAGCCCAGTCCTCCCTCACGCTGTGGTCCACCACCATCTCCGTCATAAAGATCACAGCTATGTTGCACCTGAAYGCCAAACGAAAACACTAATTTCAGAAGAGCACAAAAATAAACAGAAGTGGTTTCGGTACAAACTCTCCTGAAAAACAAACTCAGCGTTCATTTCACATCTAAAGAAAGCGACTGTGGTGAAAACCTTCCTGTCACAGCTTTTAGTGCTGAATATTTCATCAAAAAAAGGTGCGGCGACACCACCCACGCTTCCTTCCAGCATTGATGGATCATAAATATAAGATATGGGAAAGACAGGGAAACACCTCATTCTGTAAGATAATGAAAAAAGGGGGAGTTATTAACTTTTGAAGAAATATGCCGTACTTTTGGGATGACTAGAGAAGATTTCTACCGTTATTTACAGATTCAAAGTCATTTTAGGAGGGAAATCATRACTACAGACTTTGATACAAATCCAGGGATAATTCAGATATTTATGGAGGCATATGCTGCCAAAAATTCAAAGCGCACCGTTGGAAAACTTTACAGAATTTTCACAGCTAYGAATAAGAGCTCAACAGAGTACATCAGACAGAGGTGGGAGACGGAAGCAAACATCATAATTTCACAGGAAAATTGGCAGCAAATGTGGAAGAATATTTTTTCCACTACAAACTCTTTGATATGGAGAATTTAATTAGATTTTTTTATTACCCCAAAACAGRAATCTAGATTAGGTGACTCAGACTTTTTTGCTAGAGGGAATGTGGGGTGAGACCTGCGGTTACTTTTCATGTGTTTCGGTCATGTCCAAAGCTGAAAACCTTTTGGAAGGATGTGAAACAAATAATCTTTGAAATCATGGACATAACATTAGACCTTTCCTTTGATGTTCTATATATACCTTGGAAGGCTTCCTGAGGGTCTCAACACAAGGGATATATACTTATGGAAGATCTGTGTGGCTGCAAGCAAGAAGGCAATTACTAAATGTTGGCTTCAACAAAACCCTCCGACCATGAAGCGCTTTATAAATATWATAAACATGATCCATAACATGGAGATGCTGACTTTTTCAATACGTCTCCAGAAGAAGAAAGGAGAGAGCCTCTGGGAAAAGTGGATTCGTTATATACCTAAAGATGTAACCACTAACTGATGATAATTCAAAAATATTCTAATTACTCTGTGTTATAACTTGCACCTAATTTAGTTTCCTGAGAATTTAATTATTCTGTTTGTTTCTTTTTTTTCTGTTACTTCTTCTTTCCTGAGATTATAGACGGGAATATGTCTGTAAATCACCATGACAAATAAGATGATTTGTTATCATTCACTSCAGCCCTCATGTATGTTTGTTTGATATTTTGTGTTTACAAAAATTAATAAAAACAAAGTAAAAAAAAAGTGCGACGAGAAAAAAAGAAAACTTCCTGCTGGTTTTACCTGTTAAACGGACACAAAAGAAATCTGTGTCGGCAGGTTCGGAAGAGGAAGTAACTTCAGGCTCAGTGAAAAACAATTAAGCCTCAACCTCAAAACTGGTTCTGTGCAACGTAGACCTGATTTTCACACAGCAGTGTCCTCTCCTGCACTGTGGTGTAATTCAAGACGGGTCTGAAGGTAGTTTTAGWCAGAAGAGGTCATAAACCTGCTCTGACGGTTAGTCTCCTTGCAGCAGGAGCAGAGACGCTTAGTTTTATTTGGAGATTATTAGATTAGCTGTCAGAAATTTGTAAAAAAATCAAGCTGGTTTAAATCAATCCCATGTCTGTTCAGCCATGTTTGTAATTTCAGCGCATAGTGTCCGTTCGGTGTGTGTTTGTGCACCTGTGCAGAGGTCCTCGAGGTGTGATGGTTTCAGGAAGGTAGTCGACCAGCGGCGCCCAGCAGCCTCCGTTAATGGGCATGGGTAACGGCTGGGGATGGTTGGACTCCAGAACACTCAGTAGCCATCCAGCATACGGAGGGAGAGGATCAGCTGAAAAAACAAAACAAAACAAAACCTTAATAAATAGAAGGAAAGTCCTAAAATAGTTCTTGATTAATCTCTCAAAAACATCTTTCAGAGAGCTTGAGGTCAATCTGCAGAACAGATAATCCTGTCCAGTTCAAAGTTATTTGCAGCTGGTATGACATTGGAATAAAAAAAGGCATATTTTCCCCCTCAGTTAGATTTGTTTATTCATTGTCATGGGAACCAGGACAGCTTACTCTTTTCTTCTTCATAGGAGCCTCCGGAGCTGTTGCTGTAGCGCGACTCCAGCCTGTTGTGAGCCCTGAACCTGCTGAAATAAATAAAATTTTTATTTTATTATTTTTTGATCACAGATGAAAAGCGGTCGCAGGTTTAATTTATTCACACTAACCGATCTTCACTCTCTCTGACCAGCTTGTTCTCATCGGTCTCTGGCAGGTTGTCCTGACCAGCCACCACGGTGTTGCTGCTCGAGGTGGTGCCTTGCACAGAAAAACCAGAGCATTTAGGTGTTGGGCTCAAACGATCATGTGTGATATAACTTACGTATCTGTGCACAAATTCAACACTCCTGCTGACCTGTCTGAGAGGTGGAGCCTTTATTGCTGGCAGCGAAGCGATAAAAAGGAGGGTTATCACAGTGCAGGACCACGGGGTTGACTGGGTCGGTCTGCTGCAGCTCGAACAGAAGCTCCTCCATCGTCTGGATGGTGTTGTTGCGACACAAGTAGATCACCACCTTTTTAATCTAAAAACACACAGAAAGTACTTTTATATGGTTATTTACATACATATTCTTTACATACATATTATTTACATACATATT